CTCGAAGACCACGAAGTGGCCTACAGTTGGCTCCGGCTATTCAAAATGTGGCCCGGGAATGGAGTTCTGGGAACTCGAAGACCAGGAATTACAGTTGGCTCCGGGCATCCAAAATGTGGCCCGGGAATGGAGTTCTGGGAACTCGAAGAGCACGAAGTGTGTGACTGTTGCATCCGGCCCTCCAGAATGTGGCCCGGGAATGGAGTTCTGGGAACTCGAAGAGCACGAAGTGGGTGACTGTTGCATCCGGCCCTCCAGAATGTGGCCCGGGAATGGAGTTCTGGGAACTCGAAGAGCACGAAGTGTGTGACTGTTGCATCCGGCCCTCCAGAATGTGGCCTGGGAATGGAGTTCTGGGAAGTCGAAGAGCACGAAGTGTGTGACTGTTGGTGAAAAACGAGCGGGGCCCCCTGCCGCCCGGCAACTCCCAACGCCTGCCCGGACCCCCCTGTGGAGTGATCTGTGAGCTCTTTTGACCCCACTAGAAACCTATCAGTCTTCGCTGTTAGGTAAACACTCCCAAATTATCCCGGCAAAGCAACCTAACAGCGATGTGTAGGAGCATATCTGGAAGCATTCCCCTTAAGATTCAGATGAGAATCCAGTTGTAGAATTGTGCTGTTCTCGCAGTCGTAGTCGCATTCGCGATGACAGTCGCAGTGGCAACGGCAGTCACAGTCACAGCCTCAGCCTTAGCCTGCCTCAGCCTCAGCCTCAGCCTGCCTCAGCCTCAGCCTGCCTCAGACTCAGCCTCAGCCTGCTTCAGCCTCAGCCTCAGTCTGCCTTCAGCCTCGGCGTCAGCCTCAGGCTGCCTCAGCCTCAGCCTGCATCAGCCTCAGCCTCAGCCTCAGCCTTCCTCAGCATCAGCCTGCCTCAGCCTCAGCCTCAGCCTCAGCCTGCCTCAGCATTCAAAATGTGGCCCGGGAATGGAGTTCTGGGAACTCGAAGAACACGAAGTGGCCTACAGTTGGCTCCGGGCATTCAAAATCATGCCCAGGAATGGAGTTCTGGAAACTCGAAGACCACGAAGTGGCCTACAGTTGGCTCCGGGCATCCAAAATGTGGCCCGGGAATGGAGTTCTGGGAACTCGAAGACCACGAAGTGGCCTACAGTTGGATCCGGGCATCCAAAATGTGGCCCGGGAATGGAGTTCTGGGAACTCGAAGACCACGAAGTGGCCTACAGTTGGCTCCGGGCATTCAATATGTGGCCCGGGAATGGAGTTCTGGGAACTCGAAGAGCACGAAGTGGCCTACAGTTGGCTCTGGGCATTCAAAATGTGGCCCGGGAATGGAGTTCTGGGAATCATCGTATAAGAGCACGAAGAGTGTGAGACTGTTGCTTCCGGCCCTCCTGAATGTGGCCCGGGAATGGAGTTCTGGGACATCGAAGAGCACGAAGTGGCCTACAGTTGGCTCCGGGCATCCAAAATGTGGCCCGGGAATGGAATTCTGGGAAATGGAAGAGCACGAAGTGGCCTACAGTTGCATCCGGCCCTCCAGAATGTGGCCTAGGAATGGAGTTCTGGGAGGTCGAAGAGCACGAAGTGTGTGACTGTTGGTGAAAAACGAGCGGGGCCCCCTGCCGCCCGGCAACTCCCAACGCCTGCCCGGACCCCCCTGTGGAGTGATCTGTGAGCTCTTTTGACCCCACTAGAAACCTATCAGTCTTCGCTGTTAGGTAAATAGTCCCCAGACTATTTTTGAACTATTTTGGGGCTATCTCTGGGGTATTTTTTAAATTTTTCGTCGAAAATCCCCCTGTAGGGGGACAGACCCGACATAAGCCTAGGCTCAGGTCGGGCATGTCCCCCATACGGGCGGATTTTGGAAGAATTATCCCGGCAAAGCAACCTAACAGCGATGTGTAGGAGCATATCTGGAAGCATTCCCCTTAAGATTCAGATGAGAATCCAGTTGTAGAATTGTGCTGTTCTCGCAGTCGTAGTCGCATTCGCGATGACAGTCGCAGTGGCAACGGCAGTCACAGACACAGCCTCAGCCTCAGCCTGCCTCAGCCTCAGCCTCAGCCTGCCTCAGCCTCAGCCTGCCTCAGCCTCAGCCTCAGCCTGCTTCAGCCTCAGCCTCAGTCTGCCTTCAGCCTCGGCGTCAGCCTCAGGCTGCCTCAGCCTCAGCCTGCATCAGCCTCAGCCTCAGCCTCAGCCTGCCTCAGCATCAGCCTGCCTCAGCCTCAGCCTCAGCCTGCCTCAGCATTCAAAATGTGGCCCGGGAGTGTAGTTCTGGGAACTCGAAGAACACGAAGTGGCCTACAGTTGGCTCCGGGCATTCAAATTCATGCCCAGGAATGGAATTCTGGGAACTCGAAGACCACGAAGTGGCCTATGTATACAGTTGGCTCCGGGCATCCAAAATCTGGCCCGGGAATGGCCTACAGTTGGCTCCGGGCATTCAAATTCATGCCCGGGAATGGAGTTCTGGGAACTCGAAGACCACGAAGTGGCCTACAGTTGGCTCCGGCTATTCAAAATGTGGCCCGGGAATGGAGTTCTGGGAACTCGAAGACCACGAAGTGGCCTTACAGTTGGCTCCGGGCATTCAAAATGTGGCCCGGGAATGGAGTTCTGGGAACTCGAAGACCAGGAAGTGGCCTACAGTTGGCTCCGGGCATCCAAAATGTGGCCCGGGAATGGAATTCTGGGAACTCGAAGAGCACGAAGTGTGTGACTGTTGCATCCGGCCATCCAGAATGTGGCCCGGGAATGGAGTTCTGGGAACTCGAAGAGCACGATCTGTATTTCCTTTATTAGTTTGAAGTGTGTGACTGTTGCATCCGGCCCTCAGAATGTGGCTACGGAATGGAGTTCTGGGAAGTCGAAGAGCACGAAGTGTGTGACTGTTGGCGAAAAACGAGCCCGGCACCCTGCCGCCCGGCAACTCCCAACACCTGCCCGGACCCCCCTGTGGAGTGATCTGTGAGCTCTTTTGACCCCACTAGAAACCTATCAGTCTTCGCTGTTAGGTAATTATCCCGGCAAAGCAACCTAACATCGATGTGTAGGAGCATATCTGGAAGCATTCCCCTTAAGATTCGGATGAGAATTCAGTTGTAGAATTCTGCTGTTCTCGCAGTCGTAGTCGCATTCGCGATGACAGTCGCAGTGGCAACGGCAGTCGCAGTCACAGCCTCAGCCTCAGCCTGCCTCAGCCTCAGCCTCAGCCTGCCTCAGCCTCAGCCTGCCTCAGCCTCAGCCTCAGCCTGCTTCAGCCTCAGCCTCAGTCTGCCTTCAGCCTCGGCCTCAGCCTCAGCCTGCCTCAGCCTCAGACTGCATCAGCCTCAGCCTCAGCCTCAGCCTGCCTCAGCATCAGCCTGCCTCAGCCTCAGCCTGCCTCTGCCTCAGCCTCAGCCTGCTTCAGCCTCAGCCTCAGTCTGCCTTCAGCCTCGGCCTCAGCCTCAGCCTGCCTCAGCCTCAGCATCAGCCTGCCTCAGCATTCAAAATGTGGCCCGGGAATGGAGTTCTGGGAACTCGAAGAACACGAAGTGGCCTACAGTTTGCTCCGGGCATCCAAAATGTGGCCCGGGGCGAAGTTGCTTACTGTTGCTCCGGGCATTCAATTTCATGCCCAGGAATGTAATTCTGGGAACTCGAAGACCACGAAGTGGCCTACAGTTGGCTCGCTATTTCAAAATGTGCCCGGGAATGGAGTTTGGGGAACTCGAAGTCCAGAAATGCATCCTTCTGGCTCCGGCATCCAAAATGTGGCCCGGGAATGGAATTCTGGGAACTCGAAGAGCACGACGTGTGTGACTGTTGCATCCGGCCCTCCAGAATGTGGCCCGGGAATGGAGTTCTGGGAACTCGAAGAGCACGAAGTGTGTGACTGTTGCATCCGGCCCTCCAGAATGTGGCCCGGGAATGGCGTTCTGGGATCTCGAAGAGCACGAAGTGTGTGAATGTTGCATCCGGCCCTCCAGAATGTGGCCTGGGAATGGAGTTCTGGGAAGTCGAAGAGCACGAAGTGTGTGACTGTTGGTGAAAAACGAGCGGGGCCCCCTGCCGCCCGGCAACTCCCAACGCCTGCCCGGACCCCCCTGTGGAGTGATCTGTGAGCTCTTTTGACCCCACTAGAAACCTATCAGTCTTCGCTGTTAGGTAACATATCCGGGAAATCTGCAAAAATAACCCTAAACAGACATACCTCGCTTTTGACCACCCTCGCTTCCAAGAGGTACCAAGCGATGCCAAACTACGGCCTGCACTGGTTGAGCCGCTTGACGAGGAGGCGCGTGGTATGACTTGGTTTTGCCTAGAAGCGAAAGCGGGGTAGGTAATTCACGCCCTGACTAAAGGTATCAGAAAAGTCATCCCCAGACGATTTGTTTTAAACTATGTTTGAAGATTCCGACTGTATGAAGGGGCCCCAGGACACGCAAATAGATACGCACAAATAAAAAGATACCCCATATTTTCGCATATTTTCTGGGTTTCTGTCTTCCCCCCCACTTCCCATATATCCCAATATTTTCTGGGAGAGCACGATTGATTGTGTCTGTGTGTTTTTCCCCTCCTGATATTAGAAAAATCATCCCCTAACGATGTGTTTTAAACTATGTTTGAAGATTCCGACTGTAGAGGGACACGCCCGGCTTGAGCCCAGGCCCTGGTGGTCTTCGGGTCCCAGCTCGGGCCACCCGCGGCCTTCCTCCCACGACGCCCCCGGCGGGGCGCAGGCGCTGGCGATCCCGAGGCTGGAAAGCCGCCGGGAAGCAACGATGACGTGGGAAAACCTCAGACCTCGATCCTCGACCGGTGCCTCCGTGACGTTTTCGGGGGCGGTCAGAAAAAGAGGGGGGTGTCCAAGAGGGGGGAGCGCAAATCATGACCGGCGGCATGTGCGCGGCCCAGCGGGGGGGCCAGGGACGTCATGAAACAAGAAGAGGCGCCATGAAATCTGAGGAAATACCATGGCCCCCGCCGTGATACCCACCCACCCCTAGTCCTCACCCCCCTCTTTGCCGGTCCCGACGTTTGCCCCTCGGC